GTAATGAGGAGACAAATCATTACCCAGGGGTTTCCTTATTGATGAGAAATATTACCCCTGTGTTCTCTAGGGGTTTTTAAAGAACCCATTAAATATAGAATAATGCTATTTCAAGATTACTATGGAAATAACAAATTTAAATTTAAAAAATAGAACTGATAAAGACTAGCTTTTTGTATGAAACAAAACTAATTTGGAAAAACATATGAATTCCTAGATTAAAAATGGTAATATGTGTTTTCTCTGTGTATGTTTAGTCCTTATATTCCAAATTTCTCTGCCACATTAACAAGAATATTTTCATTTGTATAATTTATTTGGTTTGTGTTATTATTCTCAAGTGTGTATTATAAGCTTTTTAGAAACATTTACATTTGGTCTAGTATGTTTACTGAGAAGCAATCTAACTAAAATCTGAGATATGTAAGTATAATTAGCAAAATTTTAAAATGTTTTCTTTCCACTCATTTGTATTCATTCAGCACATTTATTACATAGCTTCTATAGGGGTATCCATATCTAGGAGCCGAGGTCACAAAGAAAATAAGACAAAGTCCTTCTCGGCTTTTGCATTCTAATAAACGTAGGCTAGTAAACTGACTCTCATGTAGTCAGTGTTGCGTGCATGGGGAGAGAAGTTAATACAGGATCAGTGGGGTCACCATAAAGGGAGTGATAGACTCACCAGGGAGGGGGGAGCTAATGAAAGCCACATACAGAAGGTTCCACATGACCTAAGTGTTGAAAGATGAGTAGGTATTTTCCAGATATAGAGGAGTGGGTGGGAGTTTGGGTGCAGAGCATTTCCAAAATCAAGAGCAGCATGAGCAGAGATGTGAAGAGAAGTGTGAGAACCAGTTTCCAAGCGTGGTCTGTCCAGGCTGTCTCAGTATTGGGGGCATGGTGGGGATGCAGGCTGCAGAGTACACAGGAACCTGATCTGTTGACCTTGTATTTTATGTAGAAAGTAGTAGGGAAAGATACTGTATCTCATTTATCTATTAGAAAGAGTTGTCCAGAATGAATATGGAGGCAAGAGTAGAGGGTGAAAGTTAAGATACAGAAAGACCAGCTTGGAGGTCACCAGTTGAATCCAGGATATAGATTTATGTACAGAATTAATTTAATGACAGTGAGTATGGATAAGGAGGCCCAGACAGTGGGGATCTCAAACTTGTGACCAATTGAATGTGGGAATGGAAGAGAGAAGTTAGGGCTCCTGGGTTTCTGGCTCGGCTGGCCAGGATGAAGAGTACTGATGCTGTTGATAAGGTTTGGGTCTGGGGTTGGGTTTGGCAGGGAAGGTTATATTGCCCAGAGTAGTTGAAACTCATAGCAGTTTCAATTAATGGAACTAATTTTGTATAATTTATTTACCAGGTGTACATTTTTATCATGGGAACAATTTCGATATCTTTCTTCAGAGTTTAAGGAAAATCATTTCTCTTAAACTTTTTTCTAATTTGCAACATATATGTCTTATTTTATATTTTATGTATTCTTTAACCTTGACTTTTCTTCCGAATGAAGACCCTTTGTCTCAATGGTCCCTGTGTTTGTTTCCAGGCGGTATGAATCTCATCCAGTCTGTGCTGACCTGCAGGCCAAGATTCTTCAGTGCTACCGTCAGAACGCCCACCAGACCCTCAGGTGCTCTGACCTGGCCAGCCAGTACATGCACTGCGTCAATCATGCCAAAGAGGTGGGTGTGCCAGCCAGGCCAGCAGGGCTCCAGGAGAATAGAGAGCCTGACGTCATGGGGCAGTGATAAGGATTTAATGGGCCGATGTGTGTGAAAAAACTCAACTGGTCACCATCAAGAACTACTGTAATGACTTGGTCAGGTCTTAACTTCTATCCCAGGTCATTGTGGGAAGAACCTCTGTCCTCCTGCGTTCAACTGATTTACTTGCAGAGAAAAAGATTCTACTAAAATTTTACTTTTATCCACCTGCCCTGAACTTTTGTCCTCTAATAATTGTATCCTCACGGTCATTGCCTCATACTTCTAGACCAGTATTCAGAGCCAGCAAAGGGAAGGTTACAAATTAAGAAGTTAGCAATTTTGGGTCCGTAAGCTGCAGGTAGTCACACAGACAGCCTGATTTAAAAACAAAAACAAAACCCACCATTAATCACTGTTGAATCCTTCCACCAGTGGATAAAGTACACTCGACTGGGCAGGGAAAGAGAGACCAGAGATAGCATTTAGGAAAGAATTTCCACTGTTTTTATATACCATAGCTGCATTTTCCTCTTGACCCTTCATATCAGAATAATATGATATTCATAGGTTGTGTATTTTCTCTAATTTATGTACTTTAGAAAGCTAATGATAAACCCTGAAGAAAATTATCAATTCTGGCAGGTCACATAATTGCCTAGCATTTAACCAATTTAACAGTTGGATGTAGGTTGTTCTGCGAGGCGGAAATTGTTAGAAACCTTGATTCCTTCTGTTGACAAACTCCCTAGAGTTGGCCTTCTAACCCTACTAAATCTAGTATTTGAGTTACACAGCATGCCTTTGTACAGTCCAATCTGCTGTAGTTGTAATAGTATAGTACATTTCTGATACTCTAAATATCTGATGGGAGGGTTGGTATTGTCTGTATAGCTGGGAAATAACAGTAATATCAGTGGAAAAATATAATCAAGATTTATTAAAAGCCTATGCTGTCTTTAAAAGGCCAGTGGCTTGTGGCTTTTTTCTGTTTCTTGCTTGTAGCAGCACTTGTATAACTCTCAGTAGTATGCCAGGGATTCTTTTCTATAAAGGTCTTTGGTAGAGGCAATATTGCTAACGTTAAGTTGGTACATTTTATTTGTCAAAAACAGCTTCTGATGTGCTCTTAACAAGCTCCAACCTTCAATATTAATACTAACTGAGGCTCTTGGGACTTGTAGGTTGACTCATGGATTTTTCTGACTTGGTGACAGTGCCTTATTGCAGTGGGGCTTGGGTAGTCAGTGGGAAAGAGCGACAGTGACAAAGCATATGCTGCAACGCTGGTACCTAACATATGTGCCTGTTTCCGCAGTGTGATTTGTAACATTACTAAAGTAGCAACTGCAGGGGCGTTGGGAGTATTGACTCCATCCTGCCTGTCTAGGTTGTGTTGAATCATCTACACATAGCCCCATGAGATCAATGGCGTGTATTTATAGGATAAAAGAAAGTTAACTTGGGACAAAATCAGATATGCCCCATGGTGCAGCAGAGAGTTACAATCTGGCAGATCTGAGTTAGTATCCAAGCCCTGTCTTTCACTAGCTCTGTGACCTTGGGCCTTGGTTTTTCTCATCTGTGAATTGGGGTAATGCTGTGAGGACTACATTGATATAAAGTATTCAGTAAATCTTGTTTTTTCCCTTCTTTCCTCAGTCGTTGTTATTTCATGGTGAAACTAACTAAACAGATCAGCCAGAAGTCGATCACTATTACTAGTGATTTCAAAACAGACTCTCCTTCCTCTTCCTCCCTTCCCAACCTGAAATATAATTTAATATTAATATTATTTTCAGCTAATACATTTGGAGTGCCTACTGTTTTCACAACTCTTATATCCAATTATTAGGGGGTGTATGATACAAGGTAATATTAAAAACCTTTTTTCCTAAGGTGGGCAAAACTGAAATGGACAAGAACAGCAACAAAAAATACCATCTTATATTTCTACAGTGCTTAGGATTTCAAGGTTATTTTACATCCATTCTCTCACTTGTTTTTTATGACAACCTGAGATGTAAATAGAGATGGTTTTAGTTTCACCATTTTACAGTTGAGAGCATTGAAGCCCAGGGAAGTCATGATGATAAATTTAACAACTAGACCAAGATGTACCGTGCCATAAAAACAAAAAATTTCCAAATAAATTCAAAGGTTTCAGTCTTTGAGTGGGTGAGTGTGTAAAGGGGCGTCCATCCTCCGCTACAGAAATGAGATGATGAGGGAAAGTGAGAGCGAAACCACAAAGGGAGGCAAAGAAGGTTGACGATCCAATGAACTGGTCACAGAGAGCCTGAAGGTCACAGAGAGGGCAGTGGGTTCATAGAGCCTGTGATGAAAGGCGTAACTCAGCACTGCCCCGTTTTAAGATCATGTCAAACTGATCCTGCCAGGGGGAGCTTATATTAGTATTTCATGAGTAGTTACTTTGCCTCTGATACCAGGGTGTCCTTTTGCTCCTTGGGAATTTAGCCTAACCTTGTGACCCCAACTCTGCGCCTGTTGTTAGAGGAGACTTCAGCAGGATACAAGGTCCTCCTTACTGTAGCAGTTCCTGATGGGCCAACTCCCCTGCTTATGTTTCCTGTTAAATCCAGAGAACAAGCTGGACATGCTAAACAAGGAAAATGCTAAACATGACAACAACCCATTAGGTCATAACGTCCATTTCCGACGAAGTACAAGGGTTTCCCCCATGGAATAATTCCAATAGCCAAGTCCACTCCACTTTTAAATGACTCATAAGATTGGCCTCTCACTGGTTCCCTGGGGCATTGTTCTAGGGACTAATAGATTTTACTGATAGGAAAATTTCCGGTTATTTCTTAGCCCTACTCTTCCTTTCTACTTATTCTTCCATTTATTCTGATCAGCCTTTCTTCAGCTATTCTTAAACAATTCCTCATGGCTTGACATGAGACATTTCGGCTATTGTTTCTAGTATATTAAGTTATGTGTTCTTCATGAGGGAAAGAGATATTAAATTGCTATAATTATTATTTCTACGACTTAAAAGCTACCGGCTGGCTATCTGAGATACAGCGTTTAAAAATGGAGGAAAGCATTGATTGGCACAGACTTCTTTATTTCTCATATATGCTTAGCCTCATAACTTTCTTAAGCTCCCCAAGGTTGGATTACCTCTTCTTGCCCCTAAAACCTGGTTCCCATTCTGTGAGGTTCCCTGTCTACACAAGAGACCATGGAAGCCAATAGTGTTTGCCCAGTTGGACCAAAATGTGCCCAAATTCTATTTTACAAGATGAGGGGTACGGTGTAGAAAGGGTTTGCTTCCAGATCTGCATTGCCTCTGGGATAATGCCCTGGGACACACCACTTCCCTGCTATTTACTTGCAGAATCGAGCTGCTTTGGGGAAGCTGGTCTAAGCATTTCAGCGTTTTCTCAGCCCTGCTGCAATTGACTGAAAGGTACAGACTCGGCTGGATCCTTATGGAACATTCTCTGTTCACTGGAGGTTAGGGTTTGTGGGAAATGCTGTTGCTGCCATCCTAATCTAGTCATGATGACTTGAGCTTCAGTTTCTTCTTTGATAAATTGAGGGTTTGAACTAGGTGATCCATGAGGACCTTCCCGCTCTGTCATTCTAGGACGGATTCTGCTTTCACGTGTGAGAGCAACAGGTGGTGTGCGTTAAGCACACATGTTCACGGGCACACTCAAGAGACGTGGCCTGTTTAGTACAAGCTGTACCCATACTTTTGAGACCTCCAATTTTTGTACCTTTGCCTCTTAGATTTTGTCATCTGCCTTACACATTTCATGCAGGAAGAACACCTGCGTTCTGATTGGCCTGCCTGCTGCCCGGCCTCCAACCTCCACATACCTTTGCCTTGAAATTCACATTCCTGACAGCCCTGGGAAAGCCAAGGTGGCAGAATGAACTGGGAGGGAATAGGAACAGTTTCACAGTTTCTCTAAAGTCAGTGAAGTGAAAAACAGCTATCTCAGCGCTGCCTGGCAGAATGTAGCTTGCCGGGTAAAGAAGTCCATTCGATGAAAATTCGGGCTACCTCCTGTATCAGGATGCCCAGATGAGGGATTTTGGGGATAGAGCAGGAAGCCAGGATCTGAAGAACCAAGGACAGGCTAGGACCAAAAGCAAGGGCCAGCTCCAGGAGACGGCAATGACAGAGGTCAATGTGGGGCTGGAAGTCAGATGATAGGGCAGTCAGGAGTCCATAAACCACAGCAGAGGTTTCAATCAGTAAGCAGGCAGTTGCGTCAGTACCCAGGCAAGCAGGTAGCTCAGCTCAAGGAAGGACCAAAATAAAGGCCTGTTTTAAGTGAGGCAACCTTCACTTTAGACCTGTATGCTTCCTGCTGACCTCTCTGGGGGGATCAGAAAGTGACCTGGCTGCAGTGAGGAGCATGGAGTGAAGACCCTGAGAAGTGAGGCTAGATCCTAACATGGCAGCACTCCAATCCAAGGCTAGTGTACACAGTTTTCTCATTTCGAAAATGCAATTGACATCTCCAGTGTATAGTTAGGCTCCAAAATCAAAGACTCCAAGATCAGTGCATATGGAGGAATTTGCTTTAGCAGAATTTCTGTCTACCTTCTTAAAGACAGTGTATTTTACCTCCCTTATAAATTGTATTTGTGTTAGACCAGGGTTCAAATATTAATGCTTCCCTATTATTCAAGTGCGAAGAGGTCCTGAGAATGTAGTAGCTATCACTTAGAAATCAGGGTTCTTGAAAGGAAAACCTACTGCCAGAGCAAGCTGTATTTTATCATTGTTTTCGGATGAACTCTACATTAGATGCAAGTGATTTAATAGACTTACGGTTGGTGGAGCTAGAAGAACCGTAGAGATCATGTAACCCAACTTTTCTACTTGCAAAAATTAGCACCCTAAGAGTTTAAGTGGTCCATAGAAGGGTAGAGCCCAGACCAAATGAGTCTGCTCTTATTCCAAACCCAGGGTGTTTTCCCTGTAATGTCAGATC